GTTTAGGGGAGGGGATGGGGGGTCTGGCCTAGCGTGGGGGGGGGGGGGGGCTGTGGGAATGGGGGTTTGGTATCTGGCTTACAAATAGGGGAAGGATAGAGGTGGGAGTCGGTCTCTTCTTCCTAGGAACAAGGTAGAGGAGAAGAGGAAATGGCCTCAAGTTGCACCACGGGGGGGTTTAGGATGGATATTAGGCAAAAAAATTCTTCACGGAAGCGGTTGTCAGGCTTTGGAACAGGCTGCTCGGGAAAGTGATGGAGTCGCCATCCCTGGAGGTGTTTAAAACACGGGTGGATGTGGTGCTGAGGGACATGGTTCAGTGGTGGACTTCGCAGTGGTGTGTTGATCGTTGTAACTCGGTGATCTCTTCCAACCTAGACAATTCTGTGGTTCTGTGATTCTATTCTATGAGGACTGAAAGGAGGATGAGGATGGAGGTTGGCATAGGGGAAGGGATGGGGGACTGGCCTAGTATCAGGGGGAGTTGTGGGAATGGGGGTTTGAATATCTGACATATAGAGAAGGAAAAGGTAAATGTGAAGGGGGGAGGTGGGTCTGGCCATGGGGAAACCTTAGATTTTAGCCTGGAGAAAAGGAGACTGAGGGGAGACCTTATTACTCTCTACAACTGCCTGAAAGGAGGTTGTAGTGAGGTGGAGGTTGGTCTCTTCTCCCAGGTAACAAGTGATAGGACAAAAGGAAATGGCCTCAAGTTGTCCCAGGGGAAGTTTAGGATGGATATTAGGAAAAATTTCTTCAGAAACCCCCTTCAGAAGGGGTTGTCAAGCATTGGAAGAGGCTGCCCAGGCAAGTGGTGAGATCACCATTCCTGGAGGTGTTTAAAAGATGGGTAGATGTGGTGCTGAGGGACATGGTTTAGTGGTGGACTTGGCAGTGCTGGGTTAATGGTTAGACTTGATGATCTTAAAGGTCTCTTCCAACCAAAACAATTTTATGATTTTATAAAATGTGGGGATTTGATGTGGGTTAAAGAATGGGAAGTGAGGCAGTCCCGTATTGAAGTGTATTTGGGAGAGGTTGGTGGGACTTTGGTCTTTTTTAGAGTTGCTTTGTATCAGAAGTGGAGTGGGATCAAAATGTTTGTTCCGTAGAAGGATGGACACATATTGATGTGGAAAAGCCCCTCAATCTAGTTATTTAGTGGGGATCTATTGATCTTTTGAGATAAGGAGGGCTGATTTTCTGTGTGCCGTAGTATAGAGAGAGATATTGTGTGTCTTTGCCTGTTGCACCTCTTGGAGGGTCATCCCTGGATATTTTGTGTCTTGTAGCATCATTTGGAGAACTGTAGAGTTAGAAAGCTGATGGAACTGTATATTGGGCCTTTTAATTAAAAAAAAAAAAAAAAGGAGGGAGTCACTTGATAGGCCTTTATAAACATTTTTGTTGTGAGGGTAGTTGGGCTCACAGGAGTGATAATGCCCCAATGGAAACTTCAGCCATGAAGGAGGAGAAAAACAGACATCAGCACATTAGAAGTGGGTGCAGAAATGTTCTGCAGTTCCCCACCAAGGGGCAGATGAGAAGAATTTGTGATTAAATTTTGGATGTTCTGAGGTAGACGCGTTGTGAAGGGATGGTGTCCTGCTCGTGAGCTCACAGCACCTTCTCCCAATGTATCCCTTGCACCTGGGATAATTAGGTAATTAGCAATGCTTACATTTCATTGAATGATCTCAAAGCTCTTCACCAGAGAAGGTGAGTCACCTTCTTTTTATAGGAGCAGCCCTGAATTATGCATTAGCTAAAGAATTTGTACAATGTTGTGGTGACGCTGCCGGAAATAAAATGGCCATCTCTTTGCTGCTAATCCTAGTCCTTGCTCTGCGCTGCTGTGTGTGGTGCTGTGCAAAAGTGTCAAAAAGACCAACTATTTGCCAAAAAAAGAGGTGTTTTACAGGATGTGGAGAATGTGTTGATGTTGGGGAGGCCAGACGGGGGGAGACAGCTGGTGTCATCTGGTCTGCCAACAAACGTGTAGGCAAACATATATTTCTTGAAAAAATAGGGAGGAATTTATTGAGAAATCCTTCCCATCTCTTCCTTTTCCATTGTATACAGGGATGTGGTTTGAGGACTGTAACCCTGTCAAGTTTATAAACCTGTTCTTGACTCTATTTACAAGTAATCTGACATCTATTTTTTATTTCTGCCAACCTAGTTCTTTCTGTGATATTCTAAAGGATTTACATCTCTTTGTTGTTGGGTGGGGTTTTTTTTTTGAAGTGGTTTGAGGACTGTAACCCTGTCAAGTTTATAAACCTATTCTTGATTCTATTTACAAGTAATCTGACATCTATTTTTTATTTTCTGCCAACCTAGTTCTTTCCGTGGTATTCTAAAGGATTTACATCTCTTCGTTGTTGGGTGGGGTTTTTTTTGGTTGTGTGTTTTTAATTTGTGTTTCTTTTCTTGGTGGGAATACTGAATCAAAATGTTTTGTGGCAGGTGAGGCTTTTTTCAATGTATTTTATGAAACCATGAGTAATTCATGTCTTGTATAAGGAATTTCTAATCATGTTTTAGGAGGAGCAGAATGATGAGTGACATCATGCTGAATTGCAGGTGGTGGGGTCAAAATAAAGTGATGGGGAGAGGAGAGAAATCCTGAATTTTGAGTAAACGAGCTGTGTAAATGGCAGATGGGCTCTAGCTCAGCGTTCTGACATGGCATTATCAAAACTTTAGGAAAATTGGGGGGGAAAAAAAGAATTTCATTTTGAAGGACAGTAACTGAGCTATTTGGTCTTTGGTGAGGAGCTCGCTGTTGATATTGGAGATAAAGTTGGTGTATTAATACTGCTTTTCATTGCACAGCTCGAGTACAATGAGTATATTTTATATATAAATATATATTATTGAGGAAAAATGTGCTGGAACAATGAATGAATTTAATTACCAAATAGGTTTTTCCTTGGAAATTCTGGCCTCAGGCACAGAAAGGAGCTGACGCTCGGGCAAAGCCTTTAAGCTCTCAGGTGAGTCAAAAGTCATATGACCCAAAGTGTGTACACACACATATATATATACACACAGGTCAAGTGACTGCTTCGTTTCTTCTCCCAGACTGAGAGGACTTGTTTTACTCCTAGATCCAGGGTTAAATATATATATTCTGTAGTTATTTTTTTTCCTTTTGGTAACGGGCGTAGTAGCATTTTTGCCTTAGCTTCAGGGGTTTTTTTCACCTGCTCTTTTGGACTTGGAGGAGGAAAAAAATACTCAGGAAAAAAAATTCATACCTACGGATGGACAGTTCTGTAGAAGTAGCAGCCCCTGAAAAGCTGCCTGAGAGTTCTGTGTCTACAGATGGAGGTAAGAAGCCTGGGATAGGGTTTAGGAAGATCTTTTTTTTATGGCTTGGTTGTGAGGCTGCATCAGATGTTAAAATTTTCACAGTCTGAAGGTAGAGAGAAGGCTGGAGAGAAAATGCCGTCTTGATAGGGAGCTGGGGAGAGTTTGTGGAACTCTTAGCGTGTGAAAACAGGCTCTAGGCTGAGATTTTACAAAAGTTTTAAGTGTCATTTGCTTGTTTCTAGATTCTCTTTGCCTCCCTGGTACGTCTGTGCCTGGTGGAAGGCAGTTTTTGCTGTTAGCAGGGTCTGGGAGTTATTTTTCAGATGACATTATGTTCCGTGGCGCCTGTCCCAGCTGGGAGCGTTGAGAAACCTGCCTTTGGTTCCAGGTTTCCCTTGTGATCTTCTGCGAGGCGTATAAACTTTCAGTGTCTTGGTTTCATCCTTATTTATATACATTATTTATAAAATAGATACTGAGAGCAACAGCTTGTTGTGAGCAGTGTGCTGGGATTTATAAGATTTTTCAGAAACTATAGTTCTGCAAGGTGGGGAGGGGGATGTCAGCTGCTTTGTACAGACTGGGATCTGCTGCTTTCCTGACTGGGACGTGCTGGTTTGATAAACTGGGAGGCTGCTGATTCATTTTAATTCTTTTTTTTTTTTTTTTCCGGGGTCTGATGGGAACTCTTCAAGTAAATTTCATTTGCCTCCGCAATACCTTTAGGCTGGGAGGAGCTTGAGGGGTGTAACACAAGGTGTTTATTTTTGTTTAGCATCTCTTTGCTGTTACATTTACTTTATATACCCGGGCAGTGTCAAACAGTTAAACTTAATTGGGATTTAAAATTTGTAAATCCTGATTAATAAGGCTGTAACAGGATTTAGTTTCAGCTATCAGTTGATTTCAGCACTAGTATAATTTATGTTGTTATTTAAACTGACACAGTTGTCACTTATGTGCTAATAACAGTATACATTTTTATTATTGTAATTGTGTATCCATATTAGAAACCTTTTCCACTTAAAGTGTCCCCTAAAAGCCCCATTTCTGCTTATGGCTGTTCTGGAATCCCACTGCTGCTGCTTGTTTCTTTTCAGTTACATTTGACTGTTAGGTAAAAACTAATTTTCTTTTCCCTGCTTCTTTGAGTAGGAGAGGAAGAAAATAACCTTTAAAGAGAAATTACAATAATTGGCTACTCTCAAAGCCCAGTCAGGCTGGAAAAAAAATTGTGTCCATCAGATCTGTCTGGTTTAACCTTGCTGTCATAGAGGAACTACCTTTTTTTTCATTTCTGCTTATGGCTGTTCTGGAATCCCACTGCTGCTGCTTGTTTCTTTTCAGTTACATTTGACTGTTAGGTAAAAACTAATTTTCTTTTCCCTGCTTCTTTGAGTAGGAGAGGAAGAAAATAACCTTTAAAGAGAAATTACAATAATTGGCTACTCTCAAAGCCCAGTCAGGCTGGAAAAAAAATTGTGTCCATCAGATCTGTCTGGTTTAACCTTGCTGTCATAGAGGAACTACCTTTTTTTCCCAAATGGAATAATTGAGGCCAGACCTTTTAGCTTTTTTTCTCCAAATTATGAAATTATGTAGCAAGCGATTATGCAAGAAATAATATTTCCTAGGACGTGTCATTGTTTTGTTGGCTATAGCTAGTCATTTAAATTAGATTTCTGTGGGCTTTTTCACCCTCTCCTTGTCCCATAGTCCAGTGCGAAATTGTTTCTCCAGGACTGTGGTTTTATTAACCCAAAACAGGTTGAGAATTTTCACTTTAAACTCTAGCTGTTTTGTGAATTTATGGCTTATTTTTTTCCCCATTTGCATCACTAAAATTCGTAATGCCATGGAGATAAGGTATGAAAACCAAAGTAAAGATTTTTATGGAATATGGCATCCCATGAGTAGTCCTTATTTCGGTAATACTGACGTTTTGAATATATTTAATAAAAGAAATAATTGGAACTGGACTCAGATTTAGGGTGCTCTATTTAAGGGATGTTAATGATGCAGCAGCCTGAAAGCACTGGGTCTTCAGTGTGTCCTGTAGGAATTCACACCAGTGAATTTTCACCTGAAAAGGACTTTTGGGTGGTTTTTTTTTTAATTTGCATTAGGATTCCTAGATGGAACAGATCGTATGGAAGTAAAAGGGTGTAATTAGTGTCGGTGTCAACCTAAGTGGGGATTTTGTGGTGGAGCTCTTTTCATTTATTGCACCATTTCAAGTAGCAGAACACCTTGAGATAATGTTACGGTGCTAATCTGTAAATTGTTCTGTGATACATCAAAGCCTTTGAGAAGATAATGAATCTGAGAGTGATTAAATCACCATGACATAATGGGTGTTCGCAAAGAAATTAGTTGTGGAACGTAATTGGTCTTCAGTGAAGTGCTGAAAACTGTAGGATTATGAAGGAGACGTTAGAGGAAACAATCTGACCCTTGGGTACAAGAAGTCTCTTTTGGAAGTGTGGAGAGATGCCACTCCAGATACGTTTAATTTAATTTACCTTTCTAAATTTGAGCTTGGTTTGATGTCAGCAAGCCAGGCCTGAGGCATGTGACAGCTCCAGGTTTTCTTGCTGGGATGCCAGATACCGGTGAGCAAGTCTTATTGGGATTAATATTATGTCATCAAATGGCATCACAGGGTCCCAGGCAAACACGACGTGTCGTGGAGGCAGGAACTGAGCAACAACAACTGTTTCACAGACCAAACAATACAGATTTGGGGGGTTATTTTCTACCAGAAGTTCTGTTTTCCACTTGAGTTTTATCAGGAAGGTATTTTTGTAAGTATCCTGAGACCAAGAGTGATGGTGTGAGAGAGTGAAGATTTCTGAAGAATATCCATCTGTGGCTGAGTCTTTCTGGTTTTTTAGTGATTGTGAGTTCTGGTCAGTGGTGATTTTGGTTTCACCTGCGCTGTTGAATACATTGGATGGACATTCTGGGCGTGTTCTTAACATACCTGAACGTTGAGATATCAGAGTGGAAGTGGAAGAGCCAGTTGTGATTGTTGTAGATATGTATTCTCTGAAGGTGTCCAAGGCCAGGCTGGATGGGGCTCTGAGCAACCTGGTCTAGTGGGAGGTGTCCCTGCCCAGGGCAGGGGGTTGGAACTAGATGATCTTTCAGGTCCCTTCAACCCAAACCATTCCATGACTCTCTGATGAGCTTGTGTTTTGGTATATTCTGGGTTTCTTTAGTACTTCTTAGTCTATGGATGAGGTGGGGAATGGAAAACTTTCCAGATCACTTTCCAGTAAAAAGGGGTATCTGAAAGACTCAGAGAAGTCAGTAAATGTTTTTCATGATTTTGTTTTTGGTAGGTTCCCCTCCATTCAAAAATATGAACGTGTGCACGTAAATGTAGAGACTAATCTAATTATAAAGCACCTTCCTTTTGCAAAACAGTACAGCAGGTATTAATTATCCAGGGTATTAATACAATAGTCAGTTGAAGTTTGTGCAGTTGTAAATCATGTTGGAACGTGATGAGAACACTATCACAAGGGGAGGCAGTGCCGTTATGGAGTGGGCAATAATATTGATAGTCCTCCTCCTTCCTTTCCAAAGGAAATATTCGGATGGTTAGGAATGATGACCAACTTTTGGAACCCATCCATACCTATTTCCAAATCTTTTACATGTGCACCTGAAAGGTTACAGTGAAAGTACTTGAAGCCAGCTGTGGATGGGATGAATTACTTATGAGTGTTTGTAACATCAGCTTTTATACGTTGCTAAGGATTCTTGCCTTATTTTTTTTTTCCTCTTATTTTAGTTATTTCCAAATCTTTTACATGTGCACCTGAAAGGTTACAGTGAAAGTACTTGAAGCCAGCTGTGGATGGGATGAATTACTTATGAGTGTTTGTAACATCAGCTTTTATACGTTGCTAAGGATTCTTGCCTTATTTTTTTTTTCCTCTTATTTTAGTTTTTCTTCCTGGCTTTGAGAGCATTGCTCCTGGAAGTTTCTCTTCCTGGCTTTGAGAGCATTGCTCCTGGAGAAGAGGATCTGACCAGCGAGCTGATGAACGAAGACATACGTATCCATAGCTGGCCTTGTTCTTACTACTTGGACACCAGCAAACAATGGGTCTCTGGCAGACTGTCCCTGACTCCTGTTGCCATCAAATTTACAGCTGACAAAACCGGGGAGCTTTTGGTCAATTTCCACCTTTCTAGTATCAGCGAGATCAAGAAGGAATCTTCAAATTTAATCTTCAGCTCTCTTACCGTCTTGGAGAAGAACACCAAGCACTGGTTCAGTTCTTTGCAACCCAACAGGAATGTGGTCTTCAACATCCTGGAGCACTTTTGGAGGGAGCAGTTGCTGTCGAGGGAAGGTGGGGGAGCAGAAGCAGCAGCTTTACAGTCAACCAAGGGCAAAGAACTGACGGGGTTATTGTCGGGGTCGCAGAAACGCCTGGAGGACACGGCGAAAGTGCTGCATCATCAGGGCGAGCAGTTTGACAACATCATGAGAGGACTCAACAAGATCGAAGGGGATATGGATGTGGCAGACAGGTACGGTGCTGGAGCATCCTCTGAGCTAAGCAGAAATTGTGGGATTGTATTATTTATGCCCCAAATTTCTGGGGCAGATCCGCAGAGGTCTTTAGGAAGCTAAACTGTTGACTTTCACTAAAAGTTTAATCCCATGATGGTGTTTTGTGGATCTAGTTCTTGTTGTAAGGTGTTTCTATATTTCTGTCCTCCCTTCTGTGTGACATCCTTTCACCCTCCTGAAGTTGTGTATATTTACCTGTCCTTTTTCCTTCAAATAATTTTTCAAGCCCTTGTAAGTTTCAAGTACAACTGGCAGAAATGGTAGAATTCCCTTCCAAATATTCCAACTCCAAAATATTAACAATCTACGAGTTTTCAGAGTATTGGCAACTAGTTAGGGGAAAGAGGTGCAAATTAATGTCCCCGCTGAAGGGCAAGGTATGGCATTCACATTTTTATTAGATGTCCCAGAATCTGTCTAAATGAAAAATACTGGAATTTGGGTTTGGTTAATTTTGCCAGTCCTGGACCATCCCGTTTTGCTTTTCTACAGCAAATTCTGCTTTCCTGGCTTTTCAAAGGAAATGTTCAATGTGGCAAGTGAGACTTGGAGACAGTTTCCTAGACTTATCAAGCAGACAAATGCCAATTAATCTTTAATTAATGTAGATTGTATTCTTTTCTCTGTGCATGGAAGTTGGCTTTTCAAATTAAAAAAAAAAATGAGCTACCGAGTGCTGCCTTTAGACAACTGAAATAAGAGCTTTGGAGCATATTTGAGCTGTTGCAGAACTTGATGTGAATAGTAAATGGTTGGTGTCTTAATGAGAACATTATGACTTTACTATTTAATGATTAACAAATTCGATAACAATCCAAACCAGACAGTGAAGGTTGAGAGCAGTATTGTAATGTTTGAAGACATATAGCTACGAGTGTCTCTGTGGAAGCTCTGACACCTGCATGAAGAAACAAACCAAATAAAGTTCAAACTAGTTGTTTTTGGAAGAAGCCTCTGTTTTCGGACGGATATCATGTCTTAACAGCAAGTGTTGATTTCACAATGGTTCTGGTGATGTTCTCCGTAGCCTTTCATGAAAAGCCAAGAGAACCGAAAGCTTCAGCAAGAGCTTTTAAAGTTCTGTAGCAATAAACAATGAGTAGGAAAATAAATACCTGCTCATTGTTTTTGGAAGGGAGTTTTGTTTTGGGTTAAGATGCACTGGGAGGTATTACTTGTCCTCATGAATCTGAAAAGCTCGATGCTTTTGATTTTTAAAAATGGAAAAATAAAGGAAGGCCTTGACCGAACGTTAGCCCAGATTCTGGTTTATATACAGTATGAAGAGTTTGGCCACCTTGCTCGCAGGCTAAAATTGTTGCATATTAGGGAATTCAGCCTATTAACATCGATAAATACCTCTATTAAGGCTCTTTGATTCTTGCTTTCTTTAGAAACTTGATGAGAAGTAACTACATTTTACACGTGGAGCTGATTTTGTGCAGAAGGAAACAACCTTTTGTGTCCGTTAGTTCGAGGTTGTATAAAGCGATGCCGATTTGATGGCTGTGTCTTTTATAAAAAGAACCAGGGCCCTTTTATCTCCTTTCATATGTTTAAAACTGTGATTAACTTTATCTTGCCTGTATGTGTGGGCTTTTTTTTTTTTTTTTGGATTATTAATTCTGTTCTTGTGTACTCCTGGGTATATACAGCTGCTTTCGGTGGAGCTGTGTGCAGATAAGCAGGGCTGAGCCTGACGTGCCAGCAAATGTTCAAAGACCAAAAATAAACAGAAAGCCAGATTCACTGGTTCCTTTTTTATATCTATCACTACTAGAGGTAGTCTGCTTGCAAATTTTCATTTGTATATAAGGACTGGTCATACAGTTTGTTGATACAGAGGGGTGACTCCTCCGTGGAAGGCCAGAAAAGTTGGCTTTGAAGCAGAAAAATCTTGCCTGTAAATTAGGTGTCGCCCAACCAGGATGGGGAAAGGGGGAAGGAGGTGGGTGAAGGGATAAAGTGATAAAAATTAAAGCTCAAAATCCAGAATAAGTCACTACAATGTAAACAGAGTTTTAGACTTGTGATATTGCAGCTGCTTTTCAGTAAGTGAATGCAAATGCTTTTCTCACGGCGAATGCGATGAAGGGAACTCATACAGCAGGAGGAATTTAATGATTTTTCATAGGATAAGACACAACCATAAGCTGTCGTTCCCCTGAAGTACTTTATAAGTCTTTCATACACCAAGAGGATAGAAAACATGGTTGGTGTTGTGTAGAAATGAGATCAGGTCACTTGTTTCTGCTTAATTACAACAGGTAGGTTAGAGCATGGCTTTTAATTTGGAAGACGGCGTGTGCTGGCAGAGCCTGGGGCTTTTTCAGTCATTCTTGGTGTTGTAAATTGTCTATCCAATGTAGGATAAGACAAGCATAAGCTGTCCTTCCCCTGAAGTACCTTGTAACTCTTTCATACACCAAGAGGATAGAAAACATGCTTGGTGTTGTGCAGAAATGAGATCAGGTCATTTGTTTCTGCTTAATTACAACAGGTAGGTTAGAGCATGGCTTTTAATTTGGAAGACGGCGTGTGCTGGCAGAGCCTGGGGCTTTTTCAGTCATTCTTGGTGTTGAACTTAAGTTGAACCTCATGGTTTCAGGATTCAGCCCTAAATCTATGATACTGTGCCATTTCAAATTCTGTTATTGTAGAACTTCCTGTTACATCTCCTTTGCTCTGGCTTCCCCCCTCCTTTTTACAGGAGTGTCACAACATTTTCAGAGGGCAGCAGAGAGCTCCAGACCATTACTCATCTCGCGTGCTATCTGCATAAATATCTGATGTTCATGCTTTAGTTGGGAGTAGATTCTTGGAACAACTCATTCTGCCTCTGCTATCCATGAATTTAGTGGTTGACTCCCAATATGACTTTTTCTGTTTTTCGTAGCAGATGAATGTCTTTAAGACATGTCTGTTTTGAAGCCTGTGCAGAACTTTGATGGCTAGTAAACAAAGTGTGTTCAGTTAGAGCTTCCTCTTTCAGATTACACTTTGTCTGCAGCCAAATTAAGCAGGATTTTAAAATTGCAGCATCTTCTGTAGACACATTCTGAGTCTCTCATGGAAAATAAATTGTTACAAAACACATCTTGAGAGGAGCACTGCTGCGATGCGTATTTTATCAGGCACTACCTTTCTAGAGTCAACTTAAAAGCAAAATAAATCAAGCTGGCTCTCCAAAATAGCAGTAGTACTTTGTCTTTTGGTCTGATAAGGCTTGCATCTCTCGGATTTAAATCTGTAAATAGCCTTTTGTAGTATCAGTAAGATCACAGTGTTTCATTAAAGATTTTATTCCATGTGGTCTGGCTTCATTAGAAGCATCTACTTGCAACTACTGTGCCAGCAGCACGTGCCTTATCACTGGATAGTCTTTAAGGTATTTATGGATTGTGGGGGACACAATCCTGATCTGGGTTGAACTCCCTTAGAGCTTTTTTTCTGTTGGATTTAATTTAAACAGAACCTCTTCTCTCCCATTAGTTAATTGAGAAGCTGTTTGTGTTCTTCTGTTCTACTCAGTGGCTGGGAAATCTCAGTTTACAACATCCCACTAGTGATGCAGGACTGGGATGCTTCCAGCCAGCTCTCTGCTCTTTTCCAGTGGGGACTGGGTAGGGATGCATCCCAGAGGGTTGACTTGCCTCTTCCTATGCCTGCCTGCAACTGGACATGAGCCATTTCAGCTCAGATGCCAGTTGGGTACCAGAAGCTGCTGGTGGGTGAGAGAGGAGGTGACTGGTTACGCAGTGGGAATCTGAAGTTACTGTTGAGTGTGTGGGGAGATGTTGTTGGCCTCAGGATTTCTTTCCAGCCACTGAGGCTTGAGTCATCCTGAGATGCAGGATGGGTTTGAGTGATGGGCAGGGGATGAGAAGAGAGTTGGAGAAACAGAGCATCATCGGTGGTTACGCAGTGGGAATCTGAAGTTACTGTTGAGTGTGTGGGGAGATGTTGTTGGCCTCAGGATTTCTTTCCAGCCACTGAGGCTTGAGTCATCCTGAGATGCAGGATGGGTTTGAGTGATGGGCAGGGGATGAGAAGAGAGTTGGAGAAACAGAGCATCATCAGTGCTGACTGGTTCTGCCTCCAACTCATGCCTAGACCTGAAAAGGGATGGGCAACGCAGCACGTGGAAAATCAAACCAAACCCACCACCTTTTCTCTCATTCCCATTTTTTTTTTTAGTGGGTCTTAGACCCGAAGAGATCCACAATTGTGATCCTTTCTTGGGAGAGGACCCCAAAAAAGGAGGATGGGCTATATTGCTAGAAAATGCACCAGAAAGATCACGTCCTTCATATCATTGATTCTTTCTAAAAGTATTTAGATCTTTCATGCCCACAGCTGATAAACTTGGGTGCATCTTCCTGCTTAGAAATAAGGGGTTTGTCTCCCTGTGTTAGTCCTGGCTGTACAGAGATCTTCTAATTAATTCATAAAGTGATTCCACTTATCTTTAAGGCAACAGTTTGCCATCAAGGAGCCTGTCTCCTCCAGGAGCTACACCGACACTGATGGTGAGACTGGATCCCAGTAGTCAATTTTTGCTGGGTTTTCAGCCTCGGCCTTGCACTCTTAGTGTTTTAATTGGCAGTGGGAATTTAGGAGTGGGGGCAAAGCAAAAGGTGGCATCGGGCTGTGGGGCTGAGGTGTAAAGGAGCAGAAAAAGGCGGAGGTGGTGATGGCCAAGTGTGGAAACATTGACGTAAAAGGCAGTGTGAGCTGAAGAACAGAGGGGTGTAAATTGGCCTCAATAAGTCCAGTTGGAAGTTGCATTTCTTACATCAGAACAGTGAGATTCTGGGATGGCTTTCCAACGTGTTAGGAAATGAAGAAAAGCTGGTTTTTTTTTTTTAAAATGGATGGATCTCGGTGAGCTGTGAAGAGGTTTGAGGAGCGAAATAACAAGAGGGCTGGGTTCAGTATGAAGAAATCTTTGTCTCTGCAGTAATTTGCTTTGAGCTGGTGGGGTAGCATGACCCTCTTTCCCTCTCCTAACACTCTCTTTTCTCCTCTAGGTTGTTGACCGAGCTCGAATCTCCTTCTTGGTGGCCATTTAGCAGCAAGCTCTGGAAAACGCCGTCGGAAAACAAGCCAAAGGAAACTGCCGCAGTTTCCGATTCGAAGAACCAGGAAGGAATCATAATTAGAATTCCAGTTATTATCACCCACAGAACGGACTCAAATGTCAAGCCAGGAAAACTCACGCTCTTCCCTTCTGGCCTGGAAATCAGTGACTGCAATTCTCAGGTCGTTCACCGGTTTGACTCCAAGGATGTGGATGATATCAGAGTCCATACGCCCTACGAAATCAGCGTCCGGCAGAGGTTTATCGGGAGGCCCGACACCTCCTATCGGCTCTTGTCTGCAAAGATGCCAGAAGCCATCCCCATCTTGGAAATGCAATTTAGCAAGAAGATACAGTTTTTAGAAGATGCCCTAGGATTTGTTGGGGCCAGGAAGTCTCCTCAGGTAGATTTGGGGACCTCCATTTGGCAAGCAGGTACGTGACGGACAAAGCGATCCAGCTGTAAGCAGGAACACTGGCTCCAAACATTTCCATAGTGGTTTTAGAACTCAAAATAGTGTATAAAATATACAAATCCTCTCCCATCTGCCCCAACGGTGAGACTGTGCTGATGATAAAATGCAAGAAATCACTGCTGGGTGACTTTGGACCCTCTTGTGAAGCGGGAGAGGGGAGACATGACACCTCCCGTTATCAGGATGAGGGGTAATGGTTTTAAATTGAAAGAGGGGAGATTGAGATCAGATACTACAAAGAAATTCTTTACTGTGAGGCTGGTGAGACACTGGAGCAGGTTGCCCAGAGAAGCTGTGGCTGCCCCATCCCTGGAAGTGTTCGAGGCCAGGTTGGATGGGGCTTTGAGCAACCTGGTCTGGTGGGAGGTGTCCCTGCCCAGGGCAGGGGTTTGAAACTCAATGATCTTTAAGATCCTTTCTAAGTGTGTCACTGTTTGAATCTACTTGGATTTCCTTTCTCTCAACTACATTAGCAAAACCTGTGACTGCAGATGCCAAAGACGAGTGTCCCTTGGGGTCCTGGCAGCTGGAACACACCAAGCCTTTAACACAGTGCTCTCAGCTGGTGTTGTCACTAACTCCACACCACTCTGTGAATGGATTAGCTTAATTTGAGTTTCAGCTACTGCCCTGGGTTTTAACTACAATGTCATTCTTTTTCTGGTGGTCACAAACTCAATATTGTGCCACTCAGTGGGAGGGGTCATTAGAAATCTGTTCTTCTCTCCTGACTGCTTCTGAGTCCTCTGTTTTTTGCTATTTTTCCTTTCTCAGTTTGTTGCTGGAAGCATGTTTGTATTTAACCTGTCATTCTGTTAATTGTAGAAAGTTTAAAACAAGTTTCCAGTCCAGGAAGCTTTTAAGTAACATAGGACATCCCCTTAATTTTCATATCTTAAAAAATAGAATTTTGTTATTTGAGAGGTTCGGGTGTTTGGATTTAGGAGATTTTAGGTCTCAGATTAGGTGAATGCATAGTTTAATCGTTTTAAGAAAACACAGTGGAGGCTGAAACCCTTTCACAATAATAAGAATGACATTCCTTAATACTATTACTTCTTCTAAAATTCCAGGAGGGTTGGGTTTTTTTGTTTTTGTAATTCAACCCTGGATTCATTTGGAAAGCTGCTGAATTTTTATCTGTTAGGAATTTATTTCTCTCAACACGCCTGAATCCTCTGTTGTTCCTAATTGTTAGTGACAAAAGAGCAAATAGGTGGATGGATTTATTGCCAGCATATTAAAAAAAAAAAGTAGAAAAATGATACAATAAAACAATAGATGAAGCTATTTTTGTGCACCAAGCTAAAACTGGCCTTCAGCAGGGAGGATAATGTCCTCTTGTTGACGAGTCGAGGGCCATAGCTTGGAAAAGCTTGTTAATTTTGAAGGAAGTAAGTCTTGAACATCTGGCACTAAAATGTCAGCACAACAACTTAGAGGAAAAACAACCTGCTGGTTTCTAAAGCACTGAGTTAGTCCAACAACTTGGTGTTCAGTTCCTGATGGTCTTAAGGCTGGTTACATAAAATAATTGGATATACAGCCCTTAACTGTGCTTCATTTCCCCCTGCTCTGCTCTGTTTGCATCTGAGTCAGTGAGTCAAGGCTATTGCTCTCTTACCCCCACCTGCATTTCGCCTGTTTAATTTGGAAATGGCAGTAAAGAAAACTGGAGGTTATGGAAATCCTGACTTCTCCAGCTCCACCAAAACCCTTGTTTGTTCCTTGCCTGGAGTCTGTCACCCTCTTTTCTTCTGTCACAAGGTGGCAGTCACAGACTGTGTTTGAACCTCTGGGTTTTTTCCACCAGCTGCTCCACATGGTGGAAATACTGATTTTTTTTTTTTAAAAAAATTTTTTTTTTTTTTTTTCCCCCCCCAAAAGCGGGGGGGGGGGGGGGGGAAAAGTCTATGTTCTGCCTGCCTGCCTCTATGTACACATAAAATACATGTGTCTATTTTCAGATAGTGAATGTTGATTCAGAGACTTCTAGGAGAACTATCCTTGCAGCCGGAGGTCCATCTGTCCCGGCGCGTTGGCTCCTGGTGTTCTTTCCCCTCCCTGGTGCAGCTGAACGTTTCCACAACTGTCACAGTTTCATCTGGATCCTGTCTGTTTAGACCAGTCCTGCCTTAAAGCTGGGCATATTGCACATTTGTATAACTAAATACCAAAAAAAAAAAAATAAAATATCATCTTTCTTAAGAGATTTGGCTTGATTCCACTTAGGAGAAGAATTTCTGAAGAGGTTTTTATACACACTAGATTATCTGAAAGTATTTTTAGCTGCTTTGCGTGTCTTTTCTGACTGTGTTTTTGGACCAAGCCACATGGGTGTTTAAATGCTCAGGTCAGAGCAGTGAGGTTTGGTTTGTAACAGAGCTTCTTCTGTCTTGAGTTGAGCTTTTCTGGCCAATAATGTCTTCGATAATGACTGATAACATCTACCTGGGATTAAAAGGCACAAGAAATCTGGCAGTATAACAATCTGGGGCAGTGCTGGCTTAATCCTGTAGCTGAAGACTGGCATTTACAGTATTGTATCCCTTTTGAGGCTGCTGAATTTTTCCTGGTTAACCAAATGTTCTCATTATTATGAGTTTCCAGCACTTTGTTGCGAGGTTTGGTACCTTCTGGTCCTTACGTGGTGGCAGTGGGTCTCACAGTCCAACTGGGCCTAATAAAAGCAGAGCAAAATTGCTTTTTTAAATGTTTCTGCCTTTCTATTCGACTCTCGCTCTTTTTTAAAATAAGAAAATTGCTGGGAAATGCCAGATCTTCTTCCTCACCCCATTTTTTTTGTGCCTTTGTCATATCCCCCTCCTGTTCTTGTCCTCTGTGGGATTAATGGAGTGAAATGGATTGATTTCTTGGGTTTAATGAAATAATTAGCGCAGGGTGAGACTCAGCTGATACGAAACACAAAGAATCTGGTCTGGCTGTTTGCTGCTGTAGGAAGGTCTGTCATTCCCTCCCCGTTTTGAGGGAAACCACGACAGTAATTTAGTTTTTCAGTGCCTGGTTCTTGGCCCCTCTGAACACGAGGAGCATTTGCACGGGGTAACACTAGCACCCTAAATGATCTGCTTGTCTTAAATCTTGATGGTGGCTGAGTTCAGTGACTCTCAGGCTTGATAACTGAATAATTCCAGGGATTATGAGTTTGCAGTAATTACTTCAGAAGGATTTAGGGTTTGGTGCTTTGGGTTTTAGCTTTTGTCTCCCTTTTCCTGTGAAAGTAATGCTGTCCAATGTGAAGGGGTGTCCACTGTCCCTTGGCCAGCCAGCTGGGCACCAGCTCTTTGACCTGACGGGGAGCTCTGGCATCCAGTGTGCTTTCCTGTCCTCGTGTACATAAGAGCTGCTGTCATTGTCCTCTCCTGGGTCAGGCCACGTGCTCACAGGTGGCAGCAGTAGCTTGAGCTTCCTTCTTGGTACCTCTCTAAGTAGGTGTACATAAGAGCTGCTGTCATTGTCCTCTCCTGGGTCAGGCCACGTGCTCACAGGTAGCAGTGGTAGCATGAGCTTCCTTCTTGGTACCTCTCTAAGTAGGAGAGCTTTAGAGATGTTTGAAGTGCCTCTAGGAGCCAAGATGTGTGTCTCCGTTGTTTAGTGCCCATCAACATCAGAAATAAAACCTTTTCCTTGCAGCACGTCCTTGGTACCCCACTGGGTGATATCAGATCCTGCAATAAGTGGTGATGCTTTAGAGAAAGGGATAGCCATAGGACAAGGGGTAATGGTTTTAAACTGAAAGAGGGAAGCTTAAATTAGATATTAGGAAGAAAGTCTCTGCTGTGAGGTTGGTGAGCAGTTTATGTGATTGGGGGTTTGTTGCTGCTGCTTCGCTCTCTGTTCAGATCATCATAGACTGATTCATCAAAATCATAGATTGATTTGTGTTGGAAGGGACCTTAAAGATTCCAACCCCCCTGCCCTGGGCAGGGACACCTCCCACTAGACCAGGTTGCTCCAAGCCCCATCCAGCCTGGTCCTGAACACCTCTAGGGATGGGGCAGCCACAGCTTTTCTGGGCAACCTATTCCAGTGTCTCACCAGCCTCACAGCAAACAATGTCGTCCTGAGATCTCATCTAAATTTCCCCTTTTTCAGCTTAAAACCTCATTATTCCTCATTCTATCACTCCAGTCCCAAATCAAGAGTCCCTTCCCAGCTTTCCTGGATCCCCTTTAAGGACTGGAAGGGGCTCTAGGGTCTCCCTGGAGCCTTCTCTTCTCCAGGCTGAAGAGTTTAAAACTATTATTCCTCATTCTATCACTCCAGTCCCGAATCAAGAGTCCCTTCCCAGCTTTCCTGGATCCCCTTTAAGGACTGGAAGGGGCTCTAGGGTCTCCCTGGAGCCTTCTCTTCTCCAGGCTGAACAACCCCACCTCTCTCAGCCTGTCTTCATAGGAGAGGTGCTCCAGCCTTCAGATCATCTTCGAGATGAATCTCCACAGCCCAAAATGAACCCCTTCTTCAACTGGCATTTAATAATGCCATCTCTTGTCAGCCTGGTCACCTCCAGGTTAGAAATTGTACAAAATACAGCTCTAATCCTTTCTACAAGAACATAGTTTAACAGGCAAAGTTGGATTAGGCTTGAGTGCACTTGTCCCCTTGCAAACTGCTGTGGAGCAAAGCAAAGGTCAACCAGTTTGATACCAGCAATGGTCCTCCCCTGGTACAGGAGATGGTTGTCTGACCACGGGACTTTCTCTTCCAGCCACAGGACTCCTGGGAGGAGTGGTGCAGCCCAGCTCGCCGGTGGGAGGCAGAGAAGGGACGGACAACGACCAGGTTCAACTGCAGAAGCAAGAGAAGATCTCCCAGGAAGAAGCAAAAGAGCTTAAGCAGGTATAAGTGGAGATCATTTTGACATAAGAATTGTTTCACTCCCTTTTCTTCATTCATAAAGTGCATTTTCATCATCAGAAACACCATCGTTGTCCTTAACAAAATATTCCTCACCCTAAATTTAGATGGGCATATGTTAAAAATCAGTTAATCAAGCCTGTGATGATTAAAATACACTGTCACCTGACATGGTGGCACCAGGTGTGGGAGGGGATGTGATAATATCAGCTTAAGGGCTCTGGTCAAGAAGGGGGGGAACTCACTAAATTTGAATTTATTTGGCCAAACCATCGCTTTCCAATTTCTGAAACCATTCCTTCCAAAAAACTGTTGCCCTGATATTTGCCCTTTGCAGATCATGTATGCCATGAGGACAGAGATAGAGTATTAAAGGAGTTAATTCTGTAACATCTGGGGGGAAAACCCCATATCCCAGTACATATCTTAGTGACATTAGCTTCCTCGATGTCTTTTTGGGTCTGTATGGTTCCATTTCAGCCCTTTGCTACTTCCCCAGTCCTTTCAGTGTTTATTTACCCTTTCATCGTGCCCTCATCTCAGGAAATCACAACCGTTCACAGTCTCTTTCAGTGTTTATTTACCCTTTCGTCGTGCCCTCATCTCAGGAAATCACAACCGTTAGGTCAGAGTAAAAGAGTTTTCTTGAGGAACTGTTCATTCCAAGTGCTAAATACCAAATTTGCTCATGGGATGGCCTCGTTCCATGGCCTATAGACAACTGATCTTAACAGACACGTGTAATGACCATGCCCCAGATTTATTTTTTTGGAAGGCACAATGTGGGGAGGGAGCTAAGATCCTCACAACTAAAGCTTTGTAGTTACTTGTGTGTAACTGAAGTATTTAATGGTAGCAAAATAAAAGATGGTAGTTAAGCCTGTGGAGCTGCTTGAGTATATTTTTCCAGACGAGGTCGGTGGTGTGTTAGTGGCACCAGGAGCGCTTTCCTAATGTTCAATCTAAACCTCCCCTGTTGGAGCTTGAAGCCGTTCCCTCTCCTTCTGTCACTAATTACCTGTGAGAAGAGCCCAGCACCAACCTCTCTACAGTGTCCTTTCAAGTAGTTGTAGAGAGTGATGAGGTCTCCCCTCAGCCTCCTCTTCCTCACACTAAACAGCCCCAACTCCCTCAGCCGCTCCTCACACGATTTGTTTTCCAGCCCCTCACCAGCTTCGTTGCCCTCCTCTGTGCTTGCTCCAGCACCTCCAGATCTTAAGCTGGTGGAGGGGAGATTTAGGTTAGATACTAGGAAGAAATTCTTTACAGTGAGGGTGGTGAGGCACTGGAACAGGTTGCCCAGGGAGGTCGTGGATGCCCCATCACTGGAGGTGTTCAAGGCCAGGCTGGATGGCTATTTGAGCAACCTGGTCTGGTGGGAGGTGTCCCTGCCCATGGCAGGGGGGTTGGAACTAGATGATCTTTAAGGTCCCTTCCAACCCAAACCATTCTATGATTCTATCTCTCTTGGATTGAGGTGCCCAAAACTGGACACAATACTCGAGGTGTGGCCTCCCCAGTGCTGAGCACAGGGGCACAATCACCTCCCTACTTCTGCTGCTCACACTATTTTTGATACAAAAGCTTGACCAGTTGAAGATGCTGACAGACAAAGGGTTAAGGGATTTATTCCCAGACTTTCTTAGGGCAAAGAGAATTAAGGGATGGAAGGGAGCTGCTTGCCTTTTATTTTTTTTTTTTTTTTTTTTTTGTTGTGTGAGTAACCGCGTCGTCATTGCCCGCTGCCTTTCCAGGCAGAGCCTAATTGGCAGGTGAACTGAGCAGAGCCCTCTGGCCGCCTGAGTTTCCATTTTACTGCTTTCGTATTTTTAAAAGCTTTTTCTGTTCTCAACAATTGTGTCTTTCTGCACTTTAAATGTTAAGGGTGCTCTAATGAATGCGAAGCCTATCAAAAGTAAGCGGGTTTGAAACTGAAAATAAATCAGTTTTCATGGCAAACCTGGGGCTTTTTTTTCTTTTTTTGGCACAATTTTGATTTACAAATAAATTGGGTGCCTCTGGGAGAGGTGGGGAAGGAGGAGTGACCCTGCTTCCTTTCTGCACCCTCTGGTGCCAGCCCCTGCTTCGCTGTGTGGCTCTCTTGGTCACTTGGCTGGAGAGGTGGGCCCAGGTGAACCTCATGAGGTTCAACAAGAGCAAATGCAAGGTTCTGCACCTGGGCCGGAACAATCCTCGCCACCAATACAAACTGGGGGGTGAGGTATTGGAAAGCAGCCCTGAGGAAAGGGACTTGGGGGTGCTGGTGGATGAGAAGCTGGACGTGAGCAGGCAGTGGGCAGCTGCAGCCCAGAAGGACAATCCCATCCTGGGCTGCATCAAAAGCTGCGTTGCCAGCAGGTCCAGAGAGGGGATTCTGCCGCTTTACTCTGCTCTGGTGAGACCTCACCTGGAGTATTGTGTGCAGGTCTGGAGCCCTCAATATAAGAAGGACATGGACCTGATGGAGAGGGTCCAGAGGAGGGCCACGAGGATGATCAGGGGGATGGAGCACCTCTGCTCCGAGGACAGGCTGAGGGAGCTGGGGTTGTTCAGCCTGGAGAAGAGGAGGCTCCGGGGAGACCTAATAGCAGCCTTCCAGTACCCGAAGGGGGGCCTACAGGAAGGCTGGGGAGAGCCTGTTTAGAAAGGCCTGCAGTGACAGGACGAGGGGCAATGGCTTCAAGCTGGAGGGGAACAGATTTAGACTGGAGATGAGGAGAGGGTTCTTCACTGTGAGGGTGGTGGAGCACTGGAACAGGTTGCCCAGGGAGGTGGTTGAGGCCCCTTCCCTGGAGATATTCAAGGTGAGGCTCGATGAGGCCCTGGACAACCTGGTCTAGTTGGGGGTGTCCCTGCTGACTGCGGGGAGGTGGGACTAGATGACCTTTGGAGGTCCCTTCCAGCCTGGGCAATTCTATGATTCTATGACTTTCACTGCAGTCACCACATTTCTGTGCTCACCTTGATGGGTTTCATGAACTGAGATGTTCTGGGTGAGGACACGGCTCAGGAAAGCTGAACTTCCCCCACTGCTGAGGGTGCTTGGTGAGAAACCTCCAAAAGTGCTCCCTGGAGTTCTGTGTCCGGCTTTGGAGTCCCCAGCACAGGAAGGACGTGGACACTGTTGGAACAGGTCTAGAGGAGGCCATGGAGATGCTTTGAGGCCTGTAAATGACAAAACACGTATCTTTCACTGCCATCCTTTGGGATATATGGAAGGAGTGAGGTGTCTCTTAAACTGGTATAAAGAATTAAAAGTTTCTTGGAGCAGAGGATAAAACCCTGTAATCTACTCCAAGCTGAACGCTGAAGCTGGCCCTGCTCTTAGTTGGCTGGAGTGGAGCAGAAGACCTTTAGAGGTCTTTTTCCATCTTAATTATACCAGGACTTCATGGAGTCATTTCGTATAGCACTGGCTACTTTATTTTATGTATTTTGATGTATATATATATAAAAAAAATATATACACAAGAAGTTCTAAACAAGGGCTGAGGGAGAGCTACCTCTCTGAACTTCCCATTTCCACGTAGTAAAGTTACTTCCTCAAGGGAGGCAAGACCTTATTCCAGACCCACTTCTTCAATCATACACGTGATGGATCTGATCATGTCATTTTTCTTTTTGGTGCTTATCCTACACACATCCACCACCTCCAGTTTGGGGAATTCAGCTTTGCTTTCCTGTCACAGTGAAAGAACTCGAAGCATTTCATTGGGGATAGAAGCAGAGGGTTTTTTAGCTGATAGTTTTGGTAAGAACAGGGGAAAAAAAAAAAAGGTAGATTAAGCTTGATCCACGGTTTATTTTGTATTTTTGCTTTGGCAGCCAAATTGCAAACCCAGTTATTCACCCCAGCTGTATTTCTGGCTGCTTGTGATTTATGGAAAGAGCTGAGAGATGTTTTATGAGATAAATCTCGCTGCTGTGGCTGATGTCCAGCTTGAGTCAAAGCTTTTTGTCTGCCTAAAATTCCCCTGCCATCCCAGCTAGATAGGCTGTTCCTTGCTGCTTGTCTCAAGGTGGTCATTTGTGGAGCTGCAAACGATGGGGCTGCTGGGGAATTCAGCCCCACACACAGATAACGGGGCTGCTGATGTTTCACAGCAGCTTCCTGGGGGCTGATTTTATATACTCTAAAAGGAAAACAAGAAAACAGAGCTCATCAGTTGTAATAAAAAAAAAAAAAACATGGATAAAGTGTAATTCTTTTCCCCTATTTTACCAAAAGCCACCAATTTCTTTAGTTAGATGGGCTGCAGTTCTGGTATCTCAGTAGGGTTACCTGACCACCAACTACCACAGCAGTTGATGTTGTGGGATAGTGCTGGGATAATTTGCTTTCTTGGAGAAATTTATTGCAATTAATTGGATAAACTGGTCTCGTTAAGGAGGCGGTGGGAGGGTGTGTCCTCTTCATGGACCCTTCTGTGGATGTCTAAGGAAGCAGATCCTGCTCTTGTGAGGACCCCCCTGGAGTACTGTGTCCAGCTTTGGAGTCCTCAGCACAAGAAGGATGTGGACCTGTTGGAATGGGTCCAGAGGAGGCCAAGGAAATGATCCAAAGGCTGGAGCACCTCTCCCATGAGGACAGGCTGAGAGAGTTGGGGGTGTTCAACCTGGAGGAGAGTGGGAAGGTCCCTGCCCAGGGTTGGGGGGTTGGAACTCGATGGTCTTTAAGGTCCTTTCCAACCCAAACCATTCTCTGATTCTGTTGTGTAAGGCCTCCACTGACAACCCTTTTATGATCTGAAGTGACTGAGAAGCTGGATTTGCAGTCCATCTGATGTGGTACTTCCAAATCTCCCTCTGATACATCCGAGGGAAGGTGGCTGAAGGGCTCCCTTTCAGGCAGGTGCCTTCAGTTCATGCAACTGGGCTCATTAAGGCCTAGGGAAGAAAAAGCAATGGTATAACTCACACCTTGGACTGCTCCTAAAAGGAGCTGGTGTTACAGGGTGAGGAATTGAGACAGATTTTTCTTGTGTTGGTTGGATCTCTGCTCTTGGCCTTGGTTGCCTGAACTGATGAAAATGAGAGTTGTGTAAACCCCAAAAGTCAGCGTACGCCATCGTTACGGATGTCTCCTGGCCTTAAGAAAGCATCAGGCCTGGCTTTTTCTTCTTTCACTTTAGAGCCTTCTGCCCTGTTTGGACCAGTAGCTGTAGGCTTTTTAAGACAACAGGGTCTCCTTGCAGTCTTGGTGTAGCTCAGGGGGTTTGCCTCCAGCCCCACACAGGAGCAGTAATTTGCTAAGTGTGGTGTAAACTGGTTGAGGTGTAATATAAAGCTTGTGGCCTCGACTCAAGCTGTGGCCAGTGCATCTGTTGTTTGGGCCTGAACCTCTTGGCCACCTTGACTTCCCTTCACACCACACCACCCTCCAGTCCCTTGAAAATCCTTTGTTTGGTTGCCCAAGTCTCACTTTTTCCCTTCTGTTCCATCCAATGATGCTTCTTTCTTTAGTGGATTGTGGTGGAACGATGTTTTCTGTCCTTTGACCCAGTCCCTGCCTGACCTTGCTGTGCCTTCAGGCACATTGAATTTCACTGAATTTCACTGAATTTAGAGTTGGAAGGGACCATAGAGATCATCTAGTCCAACTCCCCTGCTGAAGCAGGATTGCCTAGAGCTAGAGCATGTTACTCAGGAGCATCCAGGCGGGTCTTGAAAATCTCCAAGGAAGGGGACTCCACACCCTCCCTGGGCAGCCTGTTCCAGGGCTCTGTCACCCTCACCGTGAAGAAGTTTCTCCTCATATTTGAGTGGAACCTCTTATGTTCCAACTTGTGCCCGTTGCCCCTCGTCCTCTCACTGGGAACCACTGAAAAGAGTCTGGCTCCCTTCTCCTTCAACCTTCCCTTGAGATACTTGTAGGCATTGACATGGTCCTCTTTCTTGGTCTTCGTTGGCTCTCAACGGGTGCAACCTCTCAGGACGAGCCGTACCAAGGAGATAACAACACAACTGGCAAACAGCTGATGTTTACACTGAGTTTTACTTCTAATTTATTCTCCTCCCCATCTAACCCTAACATTTCAGATCTGATTTTTCCAGGCTTCCGTTCATCGCTTAGTTCATCTCCATTGAGCTTATCAGAGCAAGAGTTGTGTCTTCTCATCGGCACGCTCCAGGGCAGACTCCACCAAATGATTTGGTGATTGAAAGCAGTAAAATAACTAATTACCAAGGGTTTTTTACATTTTCTCAAAGAACCCGCTGGTCGATCGCTGAAAGCTCTCAAGTCTTTTCTTCTGGCAGATCCTGAAGAAGCTGAAGGGCCTTGCCTTGGAGACGGAAGCGGAGCTGGAGAGACAGGACGAAGCTCTGGATTCCATCACTACCTCCGTGGACCGTGCCACGCTGAATATCGACAAGCAGAACCGCAGGATGAAGAAACTGACGTAGCAGGAGCCGTCGAGGATGGTAAAATGAGGAAGAAAAGGGTTGGGGAACCACATTTCTCGAGACCGTTTCATTAATCGACGCTTTGATCGCGTGGGGATCGTTTGCGACATCGTCTGGAACACACGATGCTGCTGATGTCGGGTTTCCTGAGGGTTTTGAAAAATGTTTCCAGACTTTGAAGGCTGTTTTAGGATTAAAAAGGCCAAGCATTTTAATTAGGGTGAAAAAAAAAAAATGATAGTGGATTCTTTACTACAGCAAATCTGTAAATATGAAGGGATGTGATATAATCTGAATCGACTTTTATGTGCTTTTTTATGTTGCTGCTTTTGAATTTTTTATTTTTTTTTTTAACTGCAGCGGAGAAGTGAAGGAGAAATGAACTGCATATGAGACTACTTTAGATGATTACAGCCTATTAATTCTCTCTCAAGGTCTTTCTTTAAAATACTTAATAGCCCAACTGAGGGCCAGATGTCCCGACTGCAAGCGATTGAGGCTTTTTTTTTGGTGTAAGTTAATGCTGAGGTGAGCAAATGATGGTGATAAAACCTTACGTTCCCTGAGCAAATAGTTTTAATAGGTTTCAATCGTGGTTTCAATATCCCCAGAAATTTTATAAGAGTAATGAAGACTTAGTGGCCACAGCTGTCTCTTGCCATGTCCTGGGAAATCAAGAGGAGAAGGTTAGTTAATGTGTGTGTGTGTTGGTAGAGACGTCTCCTTATTGAGAAGATTTGGGGTTTTTGCCATTCGATACATGTTTTTCTTACTTAAGTCAGTTATAAAAATTAATTGTCGAAGGTAGATACGTGCTTCTGCTTTCCAAAAAGGGACTGCTGATCTTCAGTGATCATCTGCATGTTCTTATGTGCTTTATTTTTCCTTTTTAGACTGCACACCTAGGGAAGGAAGTGATTTTTGGAGTGGAGGAAGTGATTTTCTTCACAGGCGAATTTATTCGGTTCTTGGGAGTTGGCTGTTTGTATCCCTCACTTGCCCACAGTGGGTTTATATTTTGGGTAACGGTCTGACGTGGGATGATGTAGTTGCCCTCAGAGCATCATCAATGTAGTGTGGTACCTGAATTTCCTGTTGGCTCTGGGCTGCCACATCTCTAAGGGGTGTTGGTGGAACGTCTCTTGTCCCTTTGCTGCTCTGTCCTTCATTTTCCAAGGATCTCCTACTGTTTGTCTCCCACTCTAAATGGGAACACCATGAGTTGTGTGGAGCATCCTGAGGTTTTTATGTGTCTCCTCCAGATTCACAGCCTGAGGGGCCTGTGGTTGGAGCTGTAGATGTCTATCACTTTTGATAGTTGTGGTACACCCACCTCTTGTGGCTTTTATTTATTTGCACTAACTGGTGGTGAAGCATTTCAAGACTTCTTGTCGACCTTTATTTCTAAAACAAAAGGGAATACTGTCAATTATCGGTTTTGTTGAGTTTACAGTTGGCTCCATCGAAACTACAGGAGAGTGGAGACTTTTTCCCCTCCTAACTTGGTATTATATAGGAAAGGTTCCAGGAAACCCATATATCTATCACCTTTCATCAATTCCTACAGTTTACCAGCTATTTTAGTTCAAAAGTAGCTGTTGTAATATGTCTTTTATTTTTTTTTAAAGTGTTTTTATATTAAAAAATTCTTGTATTGCTTTCAAATACAACACTTTTGGTGCAATATTTTTCACTAGTGAAGCTTTGAAATGTTTATTCCGTTGATAGTTGATGTAAAGTTTTCCCGTTTCGGAGTAATTCAGCCCTACCTTTTGAAGAAGGACACGGTAAATCACGTAGAGTATGTTGTTTTCAAGCTCTTACTCTACCTTGTTTTGTATTACTTCACATTTCTTTGGTGGTATTGGAATAAAGTGTATTTCTGCACTGCAAATTCTTAATTTACGGTCCAAGTTGTTACTGGCATGCACTTTACCTTCCTGAATAGAGTGATTATATCTACATACACTACGTACTGTGAAATAAAATACTGTCTGGGCTTCCCTTGTTTGTTTCTGGTACCCAAATCACTGTCGTTTTACTGTGAAAGGAAGATAACATTTACACAACTAATTACTTAATTAATTTTAAAGTGTACTTTGCACAAGATGATTAACTGACCCTGGTGCTGACTGGGAACGAATCTCTGACCTGAATTAGTGCAAACCAGGATTGCCAAAAGTAAATACTAATGATAGGTCATTTAGTTAAGCATTCTCTGTGCCATATTTTTTATTGTTGTGGGTTTTAGCACTGGCTGTTGCATCTGATGCAGTACTTTGTGGTTTGTGTAGTCCATGTCCACGTTAAAACAACAACAAAAAAATTGTAATATTGTTTGTAAGAATTGTAATATTCTAGAGCTGTGCATTAGCTGCATTTTGTGTGCCCGGAGGACTTTCAACCTGTAATTTCTTCTTATTAAATATATCTTGGAATAGTGACCTTCTCTCTTGTATTCACTTGGCTGAGAAGTTGGGGTAAAAAATCCTCTCTCCCACCCCCTTGTCATCCTGTGGAGCTGAATTTCATGTCATGCTTCGAGCCTCCCCATTTTCCTTCCACCTTAAACCCATTATTTTCCAAATCAGGTGGCGGATCTGGAGTGATGGAGTGATGCTCCGTGGGGGAAGATGCAACCAAACAATATTCTTGTGCTTCATTCTTCCCTGACATAATTATTACCTACGTGGGGCTTAGAGACAGGATGATTTTTGCCTTTTAGATGCACGTTTGTTAGTTCTTTGCAGGTCTTTTGCTACAATGTGAAAAGTGGGAGGTTTTGTCTTTACGAGACATAAGAAAATAACTAATAAAAGCCATTCTAACCTGAAAAATAGAAAGATTTTGCTTGGCAAGGCTTTTCAGCTCCTGCAAAACAGAGCTGTGTCCTACAGTAGGTGTGTGTTTGTGGCAGTGATGAGCAAGTATGAAATGAACCGAGTTTAAATACCTTTATGGGAGTCCAAATGTCTCCTGTGGAGCAGTGAAAGGCTGGTAATAAACCTGGCACTTTGCAATCCTCAGAAAAGTGCTGCAAGGAGCTTTTGTTTTTTTCAGGCCATTAATTAATTAGAGGGCTGGAGCACCTCTCCTATGAGGACAGGCTGAGACAGTTGGGGTTCTTCAGCCTGGAGAAGAGAAGGCTCCGGGGAGACCTTGGAGCCCCTTCCAGTCCCTAAAAGGGGCTACAGGGGAGATGCATTTTATTTATTGAATTTCTTTCTTTTTGAGGCACACACATGTATAGAAACAGACCAAAGTTTAAGGTCAAAAATTCCTCTCTCATTTCTTCAGCTGTTAAAGGTGACTCTTCTTACCTGGTGTAAAGGTGAATTTCCATTAAAGCACTTCAACTTCTTGTCACCTTTATCATTGAAAGCTAATTATTTTTAAGGCTTTTGGGGCCAAGCCCTGCATGCTAATTAACATGTCCAGCCCCTGGCTGCCTGATTTTCTTGTGCTGCAGGGATTTGCTCAGGATCTCAGAAACAAACACGAGTTCAAACCGATATTCAAAGGGATGGATTAAAAAAACCCAGAGCAACAAAAGAAAATCAGTTTTTAACAGAAGAGCCAGAGTTTGGGCTGCCCCTTCCCAGACAGATAAATGCTGGAAGGTTGTAGAGTGCTCAAGTGTTTTGTTCAGTGGGATTTTATATAAATACACCGACGTATTTGGTTTATGCATTCATAAAAATATAAACCGAAGCAACGTGCTGCTTGAATGAAAGCATGAAATGGATCAGCTCACAAGACAGACTATTTTAGAAATAATCTTTAGCAAGAACGGGCATTTTAAGAATTAATTATTAGCAAGAGACTTCTACACCGTCCAACTGTAAAGTTTTTCAGGCTGTGAGTTACTGTGTTCTCAAATCTGTCACTTTTTACCACAAATGTGTTGTGGCTGCCCCATCCCTGGAGGGGTTCAAGGCCAGGCTGGATGGGGCTTGGAGCAACCTGGTCTGGTGGGAGGTGTCCCTGCCCAGGGCAGGGGGGTTGGAACTCGATGATCTTTAAGGTCCCTTCCAACCCAAACCATTCTCTAATTCTCAATACCGTGCAATTTAATTTTTCCCTTCAAACTCCAGCTCCCAAATTTTGATCATTAACTGAGAATCTTGAGGGTTTTTAATCCATTTGCAATTGTTGAGGTTGCAGAGAAGCTTTGGCTTCAGAACAACATTACAAACTTTTCGTGACCAAAAAGGCAAGTTTGGGCATTGATTTCTTCTAAAATTAAGATTTTTTTTGCTGCTTCTATAACTCCAAGACCTTTCCAAGAGTTAGGAAGCTGATGGTCCTGTGCTCCACCCCTAATAAAACGATGGAGAGGATCTCCTCCAAAGATCTTGGAGCCTCCTTTAAAGGTTAGAGGACATTCTCCCTGCCTTTCTGAGGCTGGATTTCTCCATGCTCTTTGGGGTCAGCCCTGACTATTGCAGCAGGAGTTGGACTTGCCCTGTCCTTCGTTGGGGTGACCAGGGAAGTGGTGGAATCACCATCCCTGGAGGAATTTAAAAGACAGGTAGATGTGGTGCTGAGGGACATGGGTGAGTGGTGGTTTTGTCCGTGTTAGGTTGATGGTTGGACTTGATGATCTTAAAGATCTCTTCCAACCTAGATGATTCAACGAAAATCATAGAATCATAGAGTTGTCCAGGGCGGAAGGGACCTCCAAAGGCCATCTAGTCTGACCCCCCCGCAGTCAGCAGGGACACCCCCAACTAGACCAGGTTGCCCAGGGCCTCGTCGAGCCTCTCCTTGAATATCTCCAGGGATGGGGCCTCAACCGCCTCCCTGGGCAACCTGTTCCAGTGCTCCACCCCCCTCACAGTGAAGAACCCTCTCCTCATCTCCAGTCTAAATCTGTTCCCCTCCAGCTTGAAGCCATTGCCCCTCGTCCTGTCACTGCAGGCCTTTCTAAACAGGTTCTCCCCAGCCTTCCTGTAGGCCCCTTCAGGTACTGGAAGGCCGCTATTAGGTCTCCCCGGAGCCTCCTCTTCTCCAGGCTGAACAACCCCAGCTCCCTCAGCCTGTCCTTGTAGCAGAGGTGCTCCATCCCCCTGATCATCCTTGTGGCCCTCCTCTGGACCCTCTCCATCAGGTCCATGTCCTTCTTATATTGAGGGCTCCAGACCTGCACACAGTGAGGTCTCACCAGAGCAGAGTAAAGTCCGCACTGCTGAGGAGGACAGCGGTGATTTTAGTGCTGGACCACAGAGATGGGCACTTCGGTCCCAATTTTCCCCCTGCAGAGCATCTGGCCAATGAAATCCAGGTTGCACTTCGTTAAGGTGAAAGCATGAAGTGCACTAGGTGACCTCGGAGCACGTTGCCTCTGCTCAACAATCCCTCCAAGCTTCAACACGACACTTAATCAGGTGTTGGAGTCCCAACGCGCTTGAAGCTTTCCCTAAATCTCAAGCACATGTTCAAGTGTTTCGCTGACAGAGAGTGAGATTTAATAACAAGGCCTGGCTTTTCTGTAGCACTTTCCATAAATGTCACATCGTGGGGTTTTTAGAGCCGGTAAATGGGCTGAATGAGCAGACAGTGAGGTGGACTGAAAATGGGCTGAAAGGCCAGGCCCAGAGGGTGGTCATCAGTGGCACAAAATCTAGTAGAAGGTCAGTGACACGTGGTGTACCCCACGGGTCAATACTGGGTCCAGTCCTGTTTGACACCTTCATTAATCATCTGGATGCTGAGGCAGAATGTACCCTCAGCAAGTTTGATTTCCAAACTGGGAGGAGTGGCTGATACTCCAGAGTCGTGTTGCCACCCAGAGGGACCTCCACAGCCTGGAGAAATGGGCTGACAGGAACCTCATGAAGGTCAACAAGGAGAAGTGCAAAGTCCTGCCCCTGAGAAGGAACAACCCCTGGCATCAGGACATACTGGGAAACACCCAACTGGAAAGGAGAAAAGGACACCAGGTTCTGGTGGACACCAAGTTGAACATGAGCTGAGAAGTGCAAAGTCCTGCCTCTGAGAAGGAACAACCCCTGACATCAGGACATACTGGAAAAGGAAAAAAGGACACCAGGTTCTGGTGGACACCAAGTTGAACATGAGCTGGCAACGTGCCCTTGTGACAAAGAACATGAATGGTGTCCTGAGCTGTGTTAGACAAAGTATTGCCAGCAGGTCAAGGGACGTGATCCTTCACCTCTGCTCAGTGAGGCCACAGCTGGGCTTCTGTGTCCAATTCTGGGCTCCTCGGTGCAAGAGAGACATGGGCATACTGGAGAAAGTCCAGTAAAGGACTGGGGGCACCCACATATGAGGAAAGGCTGAGAGAGCTGGGGCTATTCAGGCATAAGAAGAGAAGATGTGGGGAGATCTTACTAAAGTCTATAAATACCTGAGGGATGGAGCTGGGCTCTTTTTCAGAGGTGGCCAGTGACAGGACCAGGGACTGAAAGACAGGAGGTTCCCTCTGAAGATCAGGAAATGATTTTTCACCGTGTAGGTGACCAAGCACAGGTTGTCTAGGGAGGCTGTGGAATCTCCATCCTTGGAGATATTAAAAAAACCATCTGGCCATATTATGATTTGAGGAAAAAAGGACACCAGGTTCTGGTGGACACCAAGTTGAACATGAGCTGGCAACGTGCCCTTGTGGCAAAGAGCATGAATGGTGTCCTGAGCTGTGTTAGAAAAAGTATTGCCAGCAGGTCAAGGGATGTGATCCTTCACCTCTGCTCAGTGAGGCCACAGCTGGGCTTCTGTGTCCAATTCTGGGCTCCTCGGTGCAAGAGAGACATGGGCATACTGGAGAAAGTCCAGTAAAGGACTGGGGGCACCCACATATGAGGAAAGGCTGAGAGAGCTGGGGCTATTCAGGCATGAGAAGAGAAGATGTGGGGAGATCTTACTAAAGTCTATAAATACCTGAGGGATGGAGCTGGGCTCTTTTTCAGAGGTGGCCAGTGACAGGACCAGGGACTGAAAGACAGGAGGTTCCCTCTGAAGATCAGGAAATGATTTTTCACCGTGTAGGTGACCAAGCACAGGTTGTCTAGGGAGGCTGTGGAATCTCCATCCTTGGAGATATTAAAAAAACCATCTGGCCATATTATGATTTGTTGTTGTATTTACGTCCTTATCTTGCTGGTGCTACCCAAATGTCATCTCTTACGTCATCTACCCTATGTTCATCTCTTACGTCATCTACCCTATGTTCATCTCTTACGTCATCTCCCCTATGTTCATCTCTTCTCCTTTTGCATCAAGCTTTTCTCTCCCTGTAGCAGATGCAAATTGCCCTGGTAAGTGATTTTTCTCCCCTGCTTCGATATATCTGCAGGAATACAAACTGTGGCAGTTTCTGCTCAGGAAATGAAAGCATTCCATCGTTCTCCACGCTAACTGGGAAACCCAAACTGGTCAGCTGGCCCAGCAGCCCCAGGTGCCTCCTCAGCACAGGCTGATGGCA